AATTATGGTGAAGCCATGTGGTGGAATATTACTCTGCAAGAAAAATGAATCAGTTGCTGATAACTCCCCCAGCATAGACCAATCTCACAAATATGCCGAGAAAAATAAAATAGTTAAACACAAAATGTTCATACTAATTCCACTGACACAAAATTTAGAAAGGACACACACAGTGCTATAAAGCAGATCTTCAGTTTCCTGGGGCTTTGACTGCAAAATGGGATTTTCTCCAGAGACATAGAAGAGACTTGGGGGGGGGGTGACAGAAATACTCCACACCTTGCTTGTGAGGGAGTCAGACAGGTGTACACATGTGATAAAACTTTCTAACAGTGTACTCCAAATAGGTGCAGTCTGTAGGCTATGCCTTAAGAAATCTGACTGGAGAACTCAAACAGAAAATGTAAGAGCACATCACCCAGCGCACCTGACAGGGAAAGCAGGGCAGGAGCGTAAGCCTCTTTCAGCCCTCGTAGTGTGGGAAGAGCACGGCAGCCGGAGCTCCCTGCTAAGGAAGACGCTCACTCGGGTGTGAGGCCTGGAGCTGACAGGATGCAGCGCAGGTCCCTCACGGGCAGCGACTCAGCCCTCGGCAGACAGGGAGCTCCCTGTCACAGAGGACGGCCCTCGAGTCACACAGAGGACGCAGCCCACCCCTCACACATGGCCCCTTACTCTCAGAGTGGAAGGACACGTGTAGGTAAAATAAGTCACTCAAACCTCCAATTCTGGTGTGAAAGAAAGGAAACTGCACTCAGATATGTTCAGAAGAAGTTCTGGGCAGAAGTAGCTCAGCAAACACAAGAACCGAGACAATGCAGAGAAACAAAGTCAAAATAAAAGTGTATGATGTTGTTTGTACAGGTACAGAAAACCTGAGTCTAGAACAAAACACAGGAGAACTACGCTAGAGAGAATTCTGGCAGGGATTTCATGCTTTTAGCTTATCTAGTAAGATGAGTCCAGTAAAATAGGAGCTCAGATGTAAGATCAAACAATAGAATGAGCTGAAAAGAGCTATCACAGCGTAAAGAAAACAAATTTAAGATAAATTTTGCATCAAGTGAACTAGAAAAACATTTTCAAAGAGTGCTTAAGAAATATTCCAAATAGATTAGAAACAATATTACAGATATGATAGATGAAAATTTCTCTGCCGTGAAAACAGTGAATACACAGACTGAAAGAACACTGCGTTTCATTAAAGTACGATTCAGATGCGTGACTCTTAAGGCAGTCACTTAAGTACTCATGAGTCCTGAAAGCAAAGGAAAAGTTCTCTTTTATCCAGAGAAATCACCCACCAGAAAGAACACAAGACCCCAAAAAGTGCAGAAACACTTAAACATAGAAGGCTTTGGGGGCATAAAGCACCCAGAAGCCCTTTCTGATTAAGTAATTTGAGGATAAAATCATGATTCAGACAAAAATCTCAGAAATGTAGATATCATATTAACATTAGAAGTTATCATCAAAACTATTTAAATACATATGTAAGTTACATTACTACCGTGTAATGTAAATGGTGGCTTCAGAGTTAAACATAAAAATTAAAACTCTGGTAAATACAAGAACTATAATATAAACAGTTTGCATTTAGTGGTGTGGAAAGCAGTAGTGTTCGCCTCTTTCATGGTCTAACACTGAAACTTTTAAAGCTCCAATACTTTATGTCCCTCCCAGCCTGAGATTTCCTTTATAAAATCTTAATTTTTTGTTAAAACAATACTTAATTGAATTTCAGAATGTTCACTTTTACTTTAGTTCCTCTACTGGGGAATAAATGACAACAAAATTAAAATTCATTGTTTTTGTTTAAAACTGCACAAGTTATATATTATTTAATCTATTTGTCTTATACATTGCCAAGAACAAGCTATACAAATGCGATAAGATGCTACTGTCTCTATTTTTTATTAATCCATTCTCTAAATTCCAAGATTATTACAGAATATTTAAAATGTGGTATCTAATGAATCATGATCTTTTTTTTTTTGTCTTTTTTTGGGGCAGGGTCTCAGCATGCAATGCAGGCTGGCCTTGTGCTCAATTTGTAGTCCAGGCTGATCTGGAACCTTGCAACAATTCTCCTGCCTCAGCCTCAGAATCAACATTTAAAAGCACAAAATAGAATGTTCCAGGATGTATGCTATATGATACTTCTTTTCAGAGCTGTATCCTAAAAACCTAGCAAACTTAGAAAGTACATAACCCGTTTCTCTCTGATGTTCTAGCCGAGACCTCATTGGTTTGGCCTTCACCATTATATGTCACTGTGATGAAGATTCACTATTATTTATGTCACTATATTTGAAAGTCTGATTTAAAGGGTAAACATGTTATTTTAAAATAGAGACCCTTTTTTATCCCCATAAATTTAGCCATGAAGTTGAATGATGTTTTCCTGAGCAATGACAGTTCAGAACTCTATGAAGCAATTCTCTGTCTCTCCAGCTCTCCAAGCTCAATTTCAGAATTTCCTGGGGAGACCAAAGTCAGGGTCACCACACAGCTCGCAGGGAAATGAAAGAGGTTTCGTGAGACGCCACCCACAGACTGAGTTAGCCATAGGATGCATTTCATGTATTTTGTAAGCTTGTAAAAGTGAACTGAATGTCTGCCTGCTTTTAAACGTTCTATCCAATAAACTCAGGATTGGTGAGAATTTCTATCCTAAATGAAAAAATATTCTAAGGGAAAATAAACTACTTATATCTAAATAAGAAGCAATCTTATGGCAGTACACTGGGACCAGGCCATGGTTTCACCCCCAACAGCATCAACTAAACCCCAAATATTGTAAAATAAGATTATATCCTGGTGCTTTTACGGTGTCATTTTATGTATCATTTTTTATTTATTTTGCTATTTTATTTTTTATGTGAATATTTTGTCCAATTATATCAGCTCCTTTCATTTTGAAAAGTCCTATCAGAACTTTATTCCACATAAATAAACACACAAATGAAAGAAGAGACCAGAATGTGAACTCTAACTTTCCTGTTTATTAGTACTATGTTACACTGCACAGTTTTTAATCTATTGCTGGGACTCCATGTCCTGCTCTCTTAAAATTGTGCAAAACTAAATAAAATCACTCATGTGAAAATCATAGGCTATAAACCCATTTACACAAGCATTTTGTTGTGTATTTTAGTAGATATAGATTTCTGTTCTGGTGGTTGTGGGATTGTTTATATAGGAATAAATCATATTTACATGTGATTAATTTAAAAAGAATGTCCTTAGTTCATAATTTATAATCCCTGTAATATTTAGCAAGAAAAATTAGACCATATGTATATTCTCCTTTAACATCCACATTTTACCATCATAGTGTTTTTCACTCTGTTCTTAAATATATTTTCTAAAAAGTCCTGTGTACATTTTCATCTAATTACACAATACTTTTCATTTTGAAAAATCCTACTTACTGGAAAGGTCTTTCTTACATTAAAACAAATTATGTCATCCTCAGATCTCCACCCATCTTTCTAATCCTTCTTGCTGCTATTATTGAGAATAGATGAAATTCTTTTTAAAAATCTTCTTTGCTATATTGGAACAGAACTCTCAGTGTCTTCTTCCCCTTGTTTGTTTACTGAGCTGTTTTTCTTTTCTTTCCCTTCCTGAGCTGCAATCATTCAGCAAATCCTGTGGGTGGAACCGCGAAACGGTAACCTGAGTGTAAACCACCTGTCCTCCACCGTAGGCCACCATCTTGGCCCAAGTACCCCTGTCTGCACCTGGAAAATCACTGACGCTTCCTGACGGGGTAGCATTTCTTGTTTACCTTCATCCAGTTCCAATGCATTAGCCAAACTCACTGCTTATGTCCACCATCGGCTCTGCACTGCCCAGAAAGCCCTCCGCTCCGATGCCCCTGCCCTGGCCCAGCCTCCTCACTGCAGCTACCGTCTTGCACTCTGCCTCAGCCCCTCACACCTGATGGGCTCACACCCGCCGCTGGGGGCACAACACCAGCTCTTCTCTGTGTGTAGAGTACATCTGTCTTTCTGTCCCTGGCTTTTCTGCATGTAACAATCTGTTCAAACATCACCTCCCCGGAAAGGCTTTTCTACCTGTTGCTAATAGCTATACACTTCCTTCACTTTGCTGTTTATAACATCTATTATTATTTAAATTTTTAAGCTTTTTTTTTTTTGTCTTTTTCATTTTTATTGGTACCGGGGATCGAACTCACGACTGCCAGCTTGCAAGGCAGGCGCTTATGCCGCTGAGCTAAATCCCCAGCCCCTATTTTTAAATTGTTTATTATCACTCCTCCACTGTAAAATATTATTTCGAGGGGAAAGGGAATAATGCTTATCTTGTCTACTATTTTAAGTGTTTTTTACACAGTTGTGGAGGAGGAGTTCACACAGCAGGCAGGTGGTAGATGGTGATCTCTGGGTGTCCTCTGGAAGTTAACAGACACTTATTTCCTACGGTGAGGTAAAGCTTTCCCTAAGTGATCTCAGTGACTCATTTCACCTAGAATATTTGCACAAGTAATTGGTTGATGTTAAAGTGCCTGCTTTTTGCTGGGATTCTGGCCTTTGGACACCTCTTAGGCAGACAGCACCTTTCACTCCCAGTCCCCTAAAAATCTAGACAGGGAGGCTTTAGTGAGAATGCATAGTAGACAGTGTTTCATATACGTCAAAACTCAATTCTGTTGAATTAGGAGAGGCCTCTTGGAAGCTTACATAACCTGGCACGCTCTGGATTTTTCTCTAGCAGCTTTCCCGTCTATTCATTTTTCTTTGCATCTTTTCATTATAATAAGTATGACCCATGAGTTTCCCTGTATGCTGAGTCTTTATCCTTAGCAAATCAGTGAAACTGAGTGTGGCTTGGGGACCCTGACAGCCCTGAAGATGGTTACCTGTTCTCCCCAGCTGCAGGTAATCAAACAGAATTGCACGGAAAGCAACCCCCCAGCACAGTGAGACCTCAGTCTGGAGGTGACACCCGTTACGGAAGGATTCCCCACTCACGTGACCGGCCTGTAGATCTCCTTCACACCGATGAACTGCAGCTGTTCCATGATGTCCGGAATGCTTGCGCATCTGGTGAGATTAACTCTTGGGTAGTAAAGCAGGTAGGAGAGACACATTTCATTTCGGGTGCTTAGCCCTCCCTGCAAATGGAGGTATTTTATTTAGCAAAGTGTGTGTTACAGCAGTTTCGACACATGTAATCCAAAAACCACCAGCTTCATACATATCCTTCCAGTTCTGCAATGTCTTTTAAGAATTTTAAAAAATTAAAAGTAGTGATTTAAAAGACAGCCTTCAAAAAGACAATGATATACTCAAAAATTACCAGAAGTATTTCCAGCACTTTAAAAGTTGCTTCTATTAAATAATTTACTAATCTCCTTAAAGTTCTTCTGATATAAACTTCATATTGCAGGGAATGTCTCAAATGACAATGAGAATGTTTGGTGAACACAGTTCCCATCAATCAGTCTGATAGGCTTTTTCTGTTTTAAGCTGAATTTTTCTGTGTCTTCCTATTTATGAATAGCTGCATGCTCCAAAGGATGCAGATGGTACTTTATATCTAAGCAGTTAATAACTTGTTAAATTTTAACGAAAAAGATTCTCAGCAGAATAGATTCTACAGTGTTTATCTAATCTGGTCAGTTTTTACCACCAAACCATTAAACCTGAAAAGAGACAGAAAACTATGATCTGTACCAAAGAAGGAAAATTAAGTAGAAGCAGACTGTGAGAAGACACAGATGTTGGGTTTAGCAAAGACTTAAAAGCTATAAAACTGCATTCAAATAGTTAAAGAAAATATATTGAAGTAATTAAGGACAAATATATTAAAAATAAGAAAGCAAATAGGAAATGACACCAGAAAAAGGAAACAATAAAAAAAACTCCAAATAGAAATTTTACAGCTGAGAAGCTCAGAGGTTCTAAAGCTCAGTCAATAAATAAATAAACAAATAAATAAATGTAAAGTGCTGAGATCAGTGGCAGATTTGAGATGACAGAAAAAACAATCCATGAACTTGAAGAGCAGAAATGAACGCATTCAAAAAATGGAGAGAAAATGGGAAAAAAGCACTTAGTGAAAAGCACCGATTTACAGACCCAAGAAACTCAGCAAGTGCAAACACAATAGTGAAAGATTCAGAGGGAGACTCAGCACAGTCCTACCGCCAAAAGCTAAAGACAGGAGCATTGAAAGCACACATGACTTGCAAACAAATTGATATGGTTGACAACCAAGATTTCACTATAGACAAGGAAGGTAACAAAAAGACATTGGAGTTAACATAGTAAAATCCTGCAGGAGAAAAAACTGCCTATCAATAATTGTGTACCCGATAAATCCCTCTTTCAAGGCTAAAGGTGAAAAAACTTGCCATGGTCATATTGTTCATGGTTATGAATGACTGAAGTAGTTACCATGAAAGGATTTTATTAACTGGAAAGTCTTGCCCTTAATGAACAAGGCAGGATTGGGAGAAGCCAGATGACAAGTGAAATTGTAACTGAGGTTTTTGTAAATATCATGCTTTCCTGATCGTCATTGTAGTTCAGCTATTTTCGAGCTGGGATGGCCATTGGGTCGCAGCAAATTGTAGCGGAATTCTGGCCTTTGCATGTTGACATCACACAGTTCCTGCCTCCCTGGAGGGGGTGTGACTGAGTCATTCTCTCTCAGCAAGGGCATTGTCCAAGGAGGGCCACAGCTGTGACTGTCATCTTGTCCTCTGATATTCCCAGTAGCTGGTTTGCCTGTGGTGGCCTTGAAGAGGGAATCAGGCAGGGCACCAAAACACCCACGCCAATAAAGGATTTCACTGCGTTTCGAATTGACTGTTTCATACACACAAAAATTATATATATGAGAAAAATTATATCTGTGTTTTCAGCTTCAATCTCTCTTTTTCTTACTCTAGTCTAAGATGATCAGTATCGTAATATTTTGGTAAACTTTCTATGGCTTTTCCTTGTACTTCACATTCAGTTTATTGAAGTGTGTGTCCCTAATCAATATATGGTTTACTTGGGGTGTTCTTGGACTTTACCTGTGTGTTACATTGCACATATTCCCTGTAAATTTGCTCTTTGAATCAACATTATACTCTTCAGAAAGATTCACGTTAATACACGTAGCTTTACTTTATTAATTTTGTAACTGTATTCTATTTTATTATATGAATATACTAGAGTATATTTAATGATTTTCCTTTTTTTTAAAAAATGCAATACTTTATTTCTGTGATTTTCTTTTATCGGTACTGGGGATCAAACTCATGACCACATGCTTGCAAGGCAGGCGCTTATGCCATTGAGCTAAATCCCCAGCCTTTGATTTTCCTTTTGATGGATATTTTGGTTGTTTCTTGATTGGTTTTGTTTGCTCGCTTAGTTTTTGTTTTATTGAGGTTAGGCGTCAAATCCAGAACCTTGCACATACAGGATATCAAAACTCCCTATTATAAAATTACCCTAAATTTTCTTTACTAGAATTATACCAAATTTATAGAAGAACTGTTTGAGTAGTATTTATTTTACTGAGCCATTGTATTCATGAATGAGGCATCTTTTAATTTTTTAACTGTTCTTTAGTGCCTCACAATATTTATATCTTCCCCAGAGATGAAACACATTTAATGTTAGATTTCATTTCGATGTTATTTAGAATTTTAAATTGCATTATGCAACACAGTTTTTTTAACCTTAAAATGAAATTAATTTTACAATTAATTGTAGAGAGGGTTTTGGTGTATGAAACCGTACTATCTGTGAATAATGTATTTTACTTCTCCATGTCTTTCTTTCTGATCTGTGTATTCTGTGTTTTTTGTTTTTAATACAATGTTGAATAGAAACATTGGAAACAAATATCCTTGCATTCTTCATGAGTTTAGGGACATATTCCTAGCATTTAATTTATTTTAATGTTGACAACAGATTTTCCCATAGCTAACTTTTGTCTCATTAAGGGAACTCCCTGGTACTCTTGACTTGCTAAATATCTTTTTCTTCCCTCGGATTGACTTAAATTTCTACCTCTCTTCAGGGATCATATCCTTTCCTTTCAATTCCTGAATGGTGAAGGATGTCAATACATTTTCTAATTTAAATCAACTCCACAGCTTTTAGTTAGCTCCAAATTGGTTGCAGTATTAGCCTCGTATATAATGCAGAATTTTGTCTAAACTTTTCCAAAGATGCTTCTATCAGGTACCTGTTACTGGCCTCTCTCATACTGTCCTTGTAAAGCTTTTGTGTTAAGACTGTGTTAATGTCATAAAAGGAGTTGGGGGGAGGTGGTCTTTCTCTTTGTCTTCTCTGGAACAGGCTGAGTAAGGCACAAACTATGTATTTTTTGGATATGTGCAGGAATTTCCAATAAGTCTGTTGGGACCAGACTTCTGTTTGGGTCAGAAGTTCTTGAGTTCATGTCATTGGTTCTTCCTTTAAATTAACAGTAATTTACTGTCCAGAAGCAAGTAGACAGTCAGTGAATGACTGCATCTTATCATATTAGTGGGGAAAAACTAAAAGATTAAAGATAGATTTTTCATGAAAGAGTAATAAATTACACTGCAGTTATTACCATAGTATCATCAGGTATTTTGAAGTCTGATCAAATGTTTAAACATCTCTGATTTTACCTTTATGATGTTACATGCTCAAGGTTTGCAGGAATTTTGTTTCTAAAGGGCAATGTTTGTTATTTTTTTCTTTTAAACTCAAAGCAAATTCCTCATTTTCTGTAAATAAACTTTAATAATAGTGAAGATTTTCTTACCCATGTCATGCCAACTCTATCCTTTGTATTGTAGCGGCATTCTGTAATGAGGTTATCTCCCTAAAATATAAAAGTTAAAGCTTTCAGGTGAAGTTCAATGCTGCTTTATTTATCTAACATATTTGTATGCCAACAATGAATATTTGCTGTTTGAAAAGATGTAGCAAGTAGTTCAGGATTAGACCGCTGATTTGTTTAACACTGCTAGGTTTGTTAGAACAGTGCTCAAGGAAACAAACAAATAAGACTATGTGTTGAAGCCAGATTCTACGTGGGTAACCTGGTTAAGGAACTGAACAGCCCAGCACACTGTATTCATTTAAAAAAATGATACAAATAGCACTTACTTTGCACAACTATTGTGAAGAAATTAAACACCATAATACATGTGTAGTCCTTAGCAGAGATTAAAAACCTAATGAAATATTAGTCATAGTCGTGAGTTATTGTGATTACTTATTCACTAGATTACTTTCTTTAAAGCTCTTCATTTCTTTATAGCAGAATTGTGAGGCAAATTAGCAATAGCTAATTGTTCCAGAGCTTTCCCATCTTTTGAACATTAGAATGTCCATGGAGAATGATGTTTTATGGCCCTGCTCAAGTAAGCGCTGGAACTCTCTGCGGGCCAGAGGCAGCCATTCCTGGGCACTGAGCCCTAGACTTCCCTTCCCTGCCCTGCTACCGGGAGGGCTCAGCACACCTGCCCTAGACTGGCATACCAGTTAGGACGTGCTGAGACAACTGGACAAAACTGGGTGGAAAGTCCTGAGCCCAGTGTGACGAAAGAGATTGCAGCCCTCAGGAATTCTAACAAATTGCTGTCTCTCCAAGTTTATCTTCCCACTCTCAGAGAATACCACAGAACTCATGAAAGGAACATCAACCCGGAGCTGTGGATGTCAGCATTAGACAAGCATTAGAAAGAAGTAGCTCTCTTTTCTGCTCCTAACACCATCTGTGACACCGCTTCTCCCTGACCATTTCCCCATTTAGATTTGGATATAACTGGCATTTGTCCCAGCAGGACTTAGAGAAGATACTGCTTTTAGTGTCATCTCATGAGTAGGATGAGGATCTGTCTTTGCAGAGTAAAATAGAAATTCTATGAACTTGGTGGCTGTGGAATAAAAATTTAGGGAAACAAAGCCTTTTCAAAATTAAAATTTATCATAAAGTGTAAGATTCTCTCCTCTCCTTTACTTACCCCAGGTACTGTTGCAAGCTCTATCACACAGCAGGGTATAGTTAGCTATGTCTGAGTACCTTTGTCAAATGGAAGAAATACCCCTCTATACAGTTTTACTGAAATGAACCTTGTAAAAGAATTCTTGTCCCTTCCAGATAGCATAAAGAAATTCTGATTTTACCCTTATCATAATTGCAAGCGAAAGCATCACTAATTGGAGTATTGATTTTTTTTTTTTAAAGGGTAAGGTTTAGTGATTCGAACTTGAGGAGTTTGTTTTTTAAATCAAGAACTTGAACTGCCTCAGGAATAGAAAGAAAAAATGAGTTTCGGGTTTGGAAAGCAGATCAAACACATTCACCCTGAGTTACACAACAAGCATGGTGGGCGGCTGTGAGATTGCGGATACAGTGAGCACCTATTTCCCCGGAGGAAACCTTGCTGCATCTCAGCTGATGTGGGGCTCATGGCTTCTATACCATTCAGGGAAAAAGAACCAAAACATGCATACTGGCAAGATTGTTTGCTCTTCCTTTAGATACTGAAACTCTTGGAAATTGAAGTCGAAATCGTCATCATAAGCAAGTAATTTCATTTCCTTCCCTTTGCGAAAATGCCGCAGCCTGACGCCTCTGCCAGCGAGGTGAGCGTGCAGAAGAACCGCAAACACGTGGATTCCATTCGGCTTTTCAGCCTCCAGAGCCTGCGGGGACACCCGGAAGACAGGATCAGCCCAAACAAGCACAGTTCAGACAGCCCAGGCTGAAACAGACTTGGAGGGACCGCGGAGAAGAAAGCCAAGCCAAGGCAGTCGCCAAATGCTTTGAACGCGAATTGTTCCACGTTCTCTTTGCAAAGCAACATTTGCTGGGAGATGAGAAAGCACATCTACAAGACCGCTCCTTCTTCCTGCTTTTAGGTGGGCAAGAGGCAGTCAACACTCCGGGCTAGACGATTCCAGCACAGTAGTAAGCTGGAAATGCAAACTCTAAAAAGGCAAGTTTTCCTCTCTTTTCCAGATAAAAATTCCAGAGAACTCAGGGGAATTAAACATAGCATTATGGTCTTGGAGTTAGTTTCTATCATCATGGGAGTTTGAATCACAGTCTAAATAACTCAGAAGGACATAATCTGTGCACTCTACCCATCTGCCATGCTGTCCACACCTACAGTGTCATGCAGTGCATAAAGACTGTGATCCTGCTGAAATACTTTTTTCAGTAAGAAACTAGAAATGGAAATAGTTATTGTCAAATGCTTATCCAGGACACTGTCTTTTGTCATATGCATTTGTATATTAGTTGGTCTTGCTCTTGGGTGAAAGAAGGGAAGGAAGCAAAGAAGCAGAGTAAAAAATGAAAATGAGTGATGGAAGATATAAATGTGACTAAAAAGGAGAGGCTGTGGATTTAGATCAGCAGCACAAGCATCTGCCTGGCAAGTGTGAGATTGTGAATTCCATCCCCAGTACCAAATGAATGAATGAATAAAATAAAATAAAATAAAAGTGACTAAAAGGAAAAATTGAGAAGAGAGTCTACATCAACACAGATAAGAGGTGCAAAAGATGGAATAAAGTGTCCAACATGAAACAAAGGAGGTGGGAGTGGGGGGGCAACCTCAAGGTCCCCTGGCTCCCAAACCCGGTGCCTGCAGGATCAAGGTTGGAAAATGCAGTCAGAGGTGCTGCTGGAATTGCAGTAATGTTTTCACATCGTTCCCAGAGGAAAAGGGATAAGAAAGAAGCAGGGAACAGCCTCCAGGACACAGGTTAATCTCTAGAGAGCAGCTTCCAGACACAGGCGTGGCCTACCTCTTGTAGGCATTCCAGGGTGCAGTGGCCCTCAGAGCGGAACTCGGGCATCCCTGGAGGGATGGTGTGGAAGAGGCTCACCCAGAGGCCAGCCTCGATCACCCCAGCATCATACTTCCTTAAATCCGTAGTGTGGTACAGCCTCAGCCCAGAACTGTCTATCAAGCCTGCAACATGAACACACAATTAAAAAACAAAGTTCTCATAGCCCATTAAAATGCATGTGCATATGCCTTGAAAATCATGGAGAAAAGCAATACAAGCAGAGATCATGAAAGGTAACAATCAGCTTTTTAAACAGAAACTAAAATGTGAGTTGCCATGTTGTCTGCAACCACTGTAGATGTGTACACATGCTATGGGGACAATGTTTGCTAACTGGCTGACATCTTTCACAATTATCCAACATAGAGACAGTGGAAATTCTAAGTCTAAATTATTAGAATACAGACTAACCCTCCTCTCCTGTGAAAGTTTATTTTGTATAGTTCTAAAGTGAAGTTCTAATAGTGGAAGATAGAGGGGCAAGTCCCTTGACTTCAAAACCATATGGTGGACAGAGAAGATTACTGAAGTTTAACTTCCTTATAGTTTGTAACCCTTCTCTTACTCAGAAGACAGTCATTTAATCAACAGCCAATGAGATCTATGATGTGAACAGTACACATAGGCATTATGGGGTTAAAGGTGAACAAGACACTCTCCTTGCTATCACGTAGTTACCATAAAGAGGGAGAACTTAAAGATCCCGTGCATTAACTTTGAAATTAATTGGCCCCTTCCCCAATGAAAACTGAGTTTGCACCGATAGCCTTGGAAAATTTGTTTTGTCAAGGGAGACTTTCTAGACCACCCACCATACATTGCTGGCTAGATTAGGTCATCAATTAAACACTCATTGTACCAGTGCTTGTCTGTTAGGTAACTGGTAATATATAATTTTATATTCGTTGCTATGATTTCTTTATTGTTTTTCTTTCCTAGTGGACTATAATTTAGATGAGATGGGACATGGTGTGTACTTCACTTATGTGATATCCTCAAACACAGATCCAGCATATTGTTTAGTGCTCACTACTGGTTGGATAACTGCACAAAATGAAATAAGATAATTACCTAGAATTGCTTCTGCTGATAATTTTGTATTGAATCTATCAGTTTTTCATTTGGGAACATTACATAAATAAATTCCAAAATCAAGTGCGTATCTTTATATCTACTGAACAAATACTTGAGAATATTTATGACTTGCCCATGAAACAACAAAATGCTTAGCACTTTTTAGTGTGATGACTTTTTCATAGGTACAGTTAGAAGGAAAATATTTCATAAGCCTTGTGGGTTTGGAACTCAATTTATATAACAAATGAAAAAAGTCTATCATTCCACTTCCTGGTACACAGTACAGAAAAGATTTGATGAGTGACCAAATGTCCCCATGTGCTTTCTGGTGTTGGTGAATAATGCCTATCATCCCAGTGTAATCATAAATGAGCGCCCTCTTTTACTCTGAAAAGTATCCTAGTTCAGATGACTGATGTACAGATTAACCTTTTCTAGTGTTTCCTATTTTTTTTCTCTTTGTTAAGACAAGAGTTGCAAAACTTTTAAAACCCAAACTATATAAAGGCAAAATACATAAAGAAAGAACTCACCTTTCTTATGTGTTGGATTATCATAATGGACTTCTAGAAGTACATAATGAGGATCTAGTGGAGTGCCAAGGGATAATCCAACATGAGGTGGGTAGGAAAAACCCTAAATATGGAAAATTCCATGAGATAGTTTCTTACGAAAATCCCCATGAGACCTCCACTGTGTTCATAAATCAACAATTCTCAGAAATCATTCCAACTGTGCAGAATTCCATTAATCAATCATTGAAAATAGTCTTTGCCTACTTAAACAGAAACATGCCACTCTGATACATGCAGAGAGTACAAGTTGCTGCACTTGTAAGTATGAGGGCCGTATCTGTGGTGAAAGAACACAACCCATTAATTGTGCTACATCTCAGCCAGCATTTGCCCACCTCTCCACCAATGGCCCAGGCGAAGATCACGGTCTCGCAGGTGAGGAAGGCGTCAGGCATGTTTGGGTGGTAGCACTCGTGGCCGTAGTCCAGGACACTGTCGTTAAAGCCACTGCTGCACTGATAGAGCAGGATGTGGTGGACCAGGCTCTCGTGGCCTCTGTGTATCACTGGCTCCACCTACACAAACACAAACGAGAGAGGATGGGATAAAGACAGCAGTAACATCCAGAGCCAACCCCAAACTGCCCTCAGGAATTAGTCCTTCTTCAGGGATGTTCTTTGCAGCGATGGAAAGCTTACAAGGTTCAAGGCTGATCTGCTCTGGAGACAATGAAGACGATAATGATGATGGTAACAGCCAAGACAGGATCACTGTTGACTCCACATATAACTATTCGCTGATCTGCTTCTGCTCTTATTTTTAACTGGCCTTTGTTTCCCTTACCCATTCATCTGAACAGTTATTTCAAAACCTCCCTGCTCGCTTCCAGACTTCACTGGGCAGTATTTCTCCTCCTCCATTTTTCATGCAGGAAAAATAAGCCTTCTTGTCTCTCCCAGTCTTTCTCTCCTCTACCTTAAAATGCTATTTTTACTTATTCCCATTGGAAAGGATGAGATCTTGTTTGTTTTTTATGTACATGAGCTGCATACAATGTACAGCTCAATGCTGGGTATTTTTAGTTGAGAGCTGAGGATCATACTTTAATTATTTTATTATTAGAGTTGAGAAGAGAAATAAGCATCATTAGGAATGTGGTCCCGTGACACTGCTCAGTTAGGAGAGAGGAACTAGAGAGCAATTCAATACAATGGACAATGAAGTGGGCGCTGATACTGAACACGGTTCACATAAACGTGCTCCTCCCACTTCCCTTCTGTAAGCTTCCTTCATAACTCTTTTCTGCTGGAGTCCAGCATCCTGCAAACCAACCCAGGCTGAGCTAAGCACACCCAGAGAGCCCAGAGAGCTCTGTATCCAGATGAAAGTGGATCCCTGCAGCTAGCCTCCGTGGGCTGCAGCTGGGGCCAGCAGTTAGAAGGGTTTTTGACTAAAGCCTGGTGAGCTTCTAGATTTCCAGGCTGTTAGCTGCCTGAGACCTCAGTGTGACTTCTTTTGGCCCCAGCTAATCAAATGCAGAAATGCCACTTTGAAATCCCTGCTTGGCCCCTACTTTAGATTAGCATATTTAGATAATGTGCTATTTCCCCCTAATTTTTAAATTTTTCTCTTTTGCAGGAAAGCCTAAGCAGCTGGAGGAAGAATAGGAATGTACTAGATGTTGGAATTTATGTTTTGTTTCATGTTCCCTAGTGAATCTTTCCATATCTATCTGCGTGTATATTCACAGAAGAAGCATTGTACATAGTCTTGCTTGAGCTTGTCTCATCTCTACAAGGTCACAGGCTCTAAAGGTAGAAACGATTTTCTACTTTATTTAAAAATGACAGTTATTGCTTATTCATAGTTGCAAAACAATGAATGCACAGACGGCTAACCAAACATTTAAATGAGAATTTAGTGTCCACATCTAGCCTGAGCTCTCTTGTGAGACTAGACGTGGGTATCTGAATACTCCAAGGACAGAGCACTGCTAATATATTTGTCAAGAGCAAGTCATTCAGATATGGGGGACTTTTGCCAAGAACCTTCAAGTTCAGGCAGAACCTGAGGGTGGTACTGAGCTCTCAGGCAGGTCTGCGAAGGAGGCTTTTGGGCAAAAGAGAGTAGGCAGTTGCCAAGACAGCTCAGGACCAGAGACCAGGGGCTGGTATCTTTATAGGAGAAAGGAAAAGGAGAGTTTGCATACAGAAGAGATGGCCATGGGTTCACGGGGACAGAGATGAGTCACCACAAGCCAAGGAATGTCAGAAGTCACCAGAAGTTGGGTGGGACAAGGAAGGATCCTCCTCCACAGCTTTTGGAGTGAGGCTGGCTCTGCCCATGCCTTGATTTCAGACCTCGAAGTCTCCAAAGACGGAAGTGGATGCATTTCTGCTATTTCAAGTTATAGTCAATTATTACAACAGTCCTAGGAACCTGACACAGCCCCTAGCCTTGATCTTCAATTTTCTACCACAAACTAACAATTGGTAGATTTGTTACTTTAAGCCAATGTCATGATTGTCCCAAAAGTATTTGTGATCAGATTTACTCACAAATATAAATGTTTCCCTTAATGATTGAGGTTAAATATTTTCTTTAGCTATAGACAAATATATATTTCTTTTGCTCTAGTTTTCAGTATTTGTCGGGTGCCTTTGTTGCCCAAGCGTGCTGAGCTATACATGAGAAACACAGGACACAGAGACGATCTCTTCTGAGCAATTTTCTTACATTCATTATTCCATTTAAGATGTGGTTCCTTGCTTGTTGAAACATGAGTGGAACACAGCTCTCCAAAAACAACCTGCAGCTCAATAAACTAATAATTAAGACAAAGAGAGAGAGGTGATGGGTGGAATCTGTAATGAGCTGGAAATTTTGTAAATCCCTCTCACTTCTCTTCTTGCCTCTTCTTGTTCTTGGCACCCTGCTTCATATCCCACTGCAGGCAGAGCTCGCTGTCCACACAAAGCCCGTAAACTCTCTCTGACAGAGGGCATCCAAAGGTTTCCTGGCTCCCAAAGTGGTGCTGCTCATGAAAACATCAAATGGGATGTAGAGGAAGGAAAGGGAAGCACTGAGAAGCAGGAACCAAAGAGAAATGATTCGCCCCTTGTTGCGATCCTGGATTCTTACAAGGGAGCACGTGGAAGGGACACTTTCCAGCACATGGGAGAGGTCAGTGTTCAGTGAGACAGTAAAGTCAGCACAGAGAGAAAGATCAAAGGCAAGACGGTATCAGCAGGGATTTTAATATCTAAATTCTTTGGGGGAACTGGGTGAATCTCTGCATTCTGTTATTCAGCCTTTCCTCTTAACTGATGAATCAACATATTCCTTTCTTTTTCTTAGGTTAGTTCAACTTGGGTTTCTACTATTTGCAATCAAAAATCCTAATAAGCGAACACCAGCCTGTATCCTCATCATATCGGTATGCACACGTGTTACACATGAGCTACTTCAAATTGTCTTTTATCTTTCTCTCACAAACTTTGCCACATAAAATTGCTTTTGTTGTACTCTTTTCTTTTATTTACTAGTTCTTAATTGGATCTGGGTAAGTTAATGATATAGTAACATCAGTAAATGCCCAGGAAAGAGCTGTATGGGAGGAAAAAAAAACCATTCCCTCTAATGCACACAATTACCCCTTGCTTCTAATTCTTGGATTTCCACACAGATGCTTAGTAGAAGGCTGCTGTGCTTCAGGAGTAATCAAAGTCCCTTGAGTGACTTAGCACATAAAGATTTGCTAAGAGTGCTTTGTATCTGAACCTGAGTTAGGTAAGACCTTTTCCAAACACCTCAGGAATATAAAAAACAAAACAAATGCCTTTTAACCAAGTTACAAGTGACATGTTTCATGTATGTGTTGTTCCTTGAATTTTAACAGGGGATCATGATTGATACATAGCTTCTGGTCCAACATTAATATGTGTTAATACGTCTGTACATGTTAAGTCAACTGAGATACTGAATAAACCAGCTTGCACATATAACTCTGAAAACTTTTAAATTAATGCATGAATATCCAGCAAGGAGTAGTTTGTTGGAGGTAAGGAGGCTGAGTTCTCTTCTTGAATGTGCCACCAACCAGCAGTGTGAGGACTCTAAGCAAGTTACATGTCACTTCTCATTAGTGCCTCTGTCCCATCCAGCTCTTCTTAATCAATCTCTCTCTCTCTCTGTCTCTTCCTTTAACTATATAGCTTTAGATACATATGGATATAGATAGATGTATATATACATATAAGAAGAGAGGGATATAGTCTACATATATTCATTTAGCCCTCAGAAAGATCCTTATAAAACTATTCCTTGTTTTATACATGGAAAATAAAGCCTGTGTCAGTTACCAAACTTCCCCAATGCCAGAGCCAAATCCGTCCTGGTGTCCAGATCAGGGACCCTTCCCCAGCGCTGTCCTGACTCATGTGTTCCCTGGCAGCAGAGTGGAAGGGACAGTGCTGGTGCTTCACCAGGACCATACCGAGTACTGTCACCCTTTTCTGTGCCCTCACCACCCACATTCTGTGCTGGGTGCCTTCTATCTAGTCACTGTGTGACTTTCTTCAGCAGACTCCCTTTGCAGACAGCAGGAAGTGCCATGAACCGCACAACCCCTGAATAGCTAAATGGTACCCGAAGTGACATGCGGCAGGCCTGCCTCCGACAGGACAAACTCCACGTCACTGATGTCCCACGTGGGATAAGGCGAAGGTTGGAACCACAACCGCCCACACCCGAGCTCAGTTATTCTTTCCCAGCCTTTGTCCTCACCCGCAAACACACACCTACACAGTGTGTCCTGGAACTTCCTTAACAAGCCACTTGCACACTAACCTGTGTCTGGATAGGCTGCACCTAGGAACCCAGCCCAAGTCAAGTCGCACAGTGAAAAGCAGTTTTGAGCTATACACTCTTAGGTTTCAGCATGACTTCATTACTTTTCACTTCTGTTTCCTAATTGGTTAACTTCTCTGTATCTCAGTTTCCTCATCAGTGGGTCAGTGATAATAAGGCTTATGTATAATGCTACCTGAGAATTAAATTGTTGGCATGTGAAGTAATAGCACCTTAGAGTTTCTCAAATATTTATCCTGGCATCAACAGCATAAGTTGGATACCACCTTTTAAATGAATTTTTAATATTGTACCCTCATAGACAGCAAGTGTAGCTATGTAACTAATTTGTTCACAAGCTCCATATTTCAAAAGCTAATTTTATAGCATGTATAGCACAAATATTCTGACAAAAATGTTGCCAGTCAAACCCATTACAGCAAACTTTGTAATTATATGAAGTATACATTTGTGGCATTTGATCTTCTAATTTGCATGTATATATAAGATCCAGTAAAGTTCTCTAGAGTTCTTTTTCTTAAATATAACCTATTTTTTTCCAAAAGAAAATCATATACTTTATGTGAGTTTATAAGTACTACTGAGTATAAACTTTGTTATCCTTTTGATGTAGCAATATCTTGTCTCAAAAATGAATAATCGTTCATTCATTCCACTAGCAAAATCCCAGTGTTCCTTCTACCCTTAAGTCTCTATCTGTGTCTAC